ATAAAGTGGAAAAAAAAAACTTAAATTTGAGGGTAGGGTATACTGTTTGTATTGTTTAAATAATTTTTATTCTCCCATAAGTATATGAAAAAAAAAATTGTTATTTTTTTCCTTCTTTATTAATTAAAAAATTAAATACAGTAGTTTTTGCATATAATTAACTTCATCATCTATAAATCTAACTCTTCTAATAATGGATTAATATACAATTAAAAGTCTTTATTCTATTATTGTTACTTTTCATTGATTTTTTTTCTCAGCAAATGAAAACGTGTTCTTTATGTAGAGTCATAATACATTTTCCACTAAATAATTGATCATACTTACTCATTTTTCATATATGTAAATAAAACATCCCATATAAAAAGAAAATTTTATAGTTTGATACATCACGAACATATGTCTAAATAAGTATCAAAGTCTTTGCGTGTATGAAAGTCATTAAACCCGTATTAAGATTTACTAAATAATAATAAGTGAGTGAATAGTGTATGTTATTTTTATTATACTTATTAAAAAAAAAACAATAGACGTTTACGTTTTGATCTCAAACGTAAACGTCGAACGTCGAGCGCCGCTATCTTGTAAGCGGTGCTCGACGTTCGACGTTCACGTTTTACGGATGAAAACTTCGGCCGCATCCTCGCTATTAATTAATAACATAAGCTTATAAATAAGTTACGATTAAATAACTCATTATATACTAAAAACTATTTGGTATTAATATTGAATTATATAGTCCGTGTAAGAAAATTTAATGTCATGGATGTGTTAGTAGCGTTTTAAATTCATTTCAGTTGAAATGTATTTTTATTATTTCTAATATTCTGTATATTACCGATATCACGAGTTAATATCCGGAACACAAAAGCTATTTAAAAAAAAAAACAGAGTAAATACTAAAGTTTTTCTTCAAATTTGGTTAAATGTAAAATATTCGAAAACGTTACGTTCCATTTTGGAACATTTATAATATTAAACCTGACTATGGCCTATAGTAAATAGATTGAAAACGTTTGTAAAAATAAAAGGAATTTAAACTCAGCAAAATTAGATGTTTGTGAAACTGGAATTTTCAAGTGCTATTTGGAATTTATGATGTAAATACTTAAACATTTCTTCTCTGATTGAACATTTCTTTCTATAGATTTTTATGAATCACATAAATAGAACTATTATATATTACAAAAATATTCTTTTTAATTCATACCTTGTTTATAAGTTGTCCAACCATTCCAACCCAAGTTCCATTTCTTTCTTTTCTTCCAAAAATATTTGTTACTGGTTTCACTATTCTATAGCTGAAAAATTACAAACATAACAGTTACTAATTTATGAGAAATTATTTAAAATAATAGAATATAAATTATTCTTTTAAATAAATTTGTTTTTTGGCAATTTCTCTGTAAATATGTTTACCTGAAATTCAATTTATTTTGCAGTATTTTAAATGTTTTGTATTGCATACCCCCGATTATCTCTTTCTGGTTTTTATCCATTTGCATGTAACTACTAATCTAAGATAAAAATATGAATAATAACATTTTAATTTTGTAATATAGTATAGTTTTATAATATAATAATCACTCTTACCTTTAAGCCAGCNCTTTTCATTCTCAAGTTTAATTTGTGTCTTGTCTAAATTTCGGTCTTTGTTAGTTCCTTCTATAAACTAAACGTGAGGAAAGGAGCATGAACCATGATTTTTCACATAATTAGATAATTAAACAAGAACCTATTGTGCATGTAGAATAACTTAATTTATATTCATTTTACCCTTTTCTGTATTCTGTTATTGTAAGATTTAATTATTGTATATTTTTAATATACTTTACGCAAACAATATCAATGATTCTAGAATGTAAACTTTTACTAGTTTATTTTCTTTTAGTTTTCTTGTATTCGTCTTCATTGTTTTTTAAACTCTGCAGAATGGACGTAATATATAAATAAAATATAAAATTATGTATAATTATAATGAAATTTAAGTAAAATTTATATTTTCAGTAATTCATTTATAAACTATGCAATTTAATTTATTATAAATTATATATATCATATAGTTAGAGCTTTGAGTACATGTAATTTTAAATTAATATCTAATATTATCATCTATTATCGTTAAAAATAATATAATTTTCTTACTGTCACATATAATAAGTATTATTAAGATTACTATTTCATTCTTTATAATATTTAAAATAAAGATAAAAGAAATTCTAGTAAAATCTATTAGATACAGTTTCATTTTTCGGGAGGAAATTTTATTATAAATAATTGGAAAATTAAAAATGGAATGACAAAATTGCAGTCAACAAATTGAATTTGGACTAGAGTTTTTATTCTGATCGATTCTTTTTTTAATGAAGTTGGATTCAATTACTTTTATTTCATGAGATAAATCAATACGAGAAAATTACATGGTCGTCGAACATTCCTAATGGCCACGTTTATAAAGTTTTTTTGAGCATACAAGTTACAATTTTAATGGGTTTACTATTCGAAAAAGTCATAGAATTCTAGTAAAATCTAACATTTTTCTAGTTTTATAATATAATAATTTCAATAATAACATTTTAATTTTGTAATATAGTATAGTTTTATAATATAATAATCACTCTTACCTTTAAGCCAGCAACTCTCCAAACATCAATAGGCATATCTATAAATAAAAGACAATGAGAAATCTTTAAGTGATGCCGACTTTTATTTTAGAATGTAGTAATGATTATTACTTCTCTTAAGTGTAATATTTGTAATGCTGAATGATAGAAGCTGAATTTCGTAGATATAAACGACATTATGAGCAATCATAAGCATGGTTATTATTAGCAGAAATATATTAAATTATATTACTTCAATTAACAAGGTTCAAAAAAAGAGAAATCCATAAGTAATGGTTTCTTATGTTTTCATTTCATTAAAAGAGCTTGTTCTGAGATGAAAGCATAAAAAATCAATTCTAAAAATATTTTATTTTGATTTTCTAAAAGAATGTAATATATANATAAAGAAAATTTAAATTATTCTACAATAATTTCTAACAAAATTTAATGGGATATTTGTTGCCATAAATCTTCAGCAATTTTTTCAAAATTTGGTTCCCGCATTGTTAAATAGAGATTATAATTGTGTACTGGCCTTGAAAGTAATGGCTGCGAATTTATAACGTGTGGAACAATACATGAAATCTTTCAATTTTTGTAACAAACTTAATGTCTAAATTTGCTAAATATCAAGTAATGCGCGCATGCAGTAACACACATTGCATGGTGGGGTACGATCCAGACCTCGTTATTCCTAATACCAGTAGTCCAGTAAAAACATGAAAAGACCCAATGTTATCGAGCAATAATTATAGAATAGAAAAAAAAAATTTTCTATTCTAAAATTAATGCTCGGTTAAACCGTAATTTTACTAGACTACAGGTTCACTCGGCACTAACGGTACAAATAGGCAGGCAATCAAGTGGATAAACAAGTTGTTTGGACTATTAATTAAAAGGGACATCGGTGTTCATAGTGGGATATTTTAAAGCAAGTTTTTGTCGATTCTTGTTTCTTGTGTTAATAATTTACAGAAAATTGATTAACATACGCCATTTTATAACGAAAGTTAGATGTACCCCTTCGATTTACGCTCGTACCCCTAGGGGTACATGTACCCCCGGTTGAGAACCACTGTTATAAAGAATTTATCAAACCGTAATTCTTTAATTTAAAAGTTGACACAGCGATTTCTTTATCAAACAAATATGTACGGTACATTCCGAGTTCATTAATACAATTCATTAGTGTTGTTTTTTTTTTCTGTTAAAACATAAAACCGAGTGTTTTTACTTTACCTTATATTATCTACTGTCTTTCTTATCTATTCTTTCATTTTCATTAATAATGTAATTCATTCGCGTAAGCTGTTGATCATTATTCATTATTTTTAATAAAATTTACTGAAGTAAAAATACTTCTAGGGCTTGTTTTAGTGGAGATTAATTATACTTTATTATAACGCAAACTGACATTGTGAAAGGCAAACATTGAACACCAATAGAATAACAAAGGACAATGGACTATAGTAAAATAATATTCCAGAATTATTTATATTCATTTCTGTTTATTTATTTAAACAAAATTTCTATTCATAAATATGAACTTTTCGCAAGGATTAATAATAAAATATTCTTAAATCTATTGTTTTAAACTTTCCAAATGATCTATAACTTTAGCCATTAATAACAAATATCGTATTTAAACAAATCTTTAAAAATACCTATAATTTATATAAAGTAACTTTATTAAATTCCCTTTAAAAAAAAATTAGGATTTATCTAGAAAATTTTCATCAATTTAAAAATCACACACATTTCTTAAAATATAATAACTCTAGATAATCATTACTGAAAATAATAAAATCTTACCGTAATCTGAATTGCAGCTAGACAGCATAATTAATTTAAATAAGATATAACTGTGTAATATATTCATTTTAAATCTAAATTGTTCTGTCATTACTTGCGAATTAGAAAGTAATCTTTTCTAACAATGGCTTGAAAGTGACTGGGTAGTGTGCATTCTATTGTATGGCATTCGTCATGTGATTCACCAATAACAATTACCTGTCGTGACAATAATTTTTAAGCAGTTGTTGAGCTTTTATTAGGTTACAGTCTTTTTTTTTTAGAAGACAATTAATTCAACTTTTTCAATACCTTTTCAATAAAAGAAAGAGTTTAAACACGTGTTTAGAAGTTAATTCCTATCGAATTATTTTGATACAATTCGTTTTATTTATTTTATCTTAAATAATCTTGCTGTAAATGAAGTTTACAAAAATTTTATTGAATAGTTAAGTACAGGTAGGCCTCCTACAACGCGATAGATACGTTCCTTCAAAATACCGCGTTGTGGGAAATCGCATTATAGGAGACACCAACTTAATACAAAAACTGGGATTCGGTTCTAAAAAGAGAAAAACTTGGCGTTTGAAAGGCGTTTTTTTTTTTTTTTTAATTTTTCAAACCAGCCATTGCTAGCCACGAATTTAACACTGGTTTCATCATCCGACGACTGTCCCATTTGTTTTAAATAATCAAATATTTTTAATGCTTTGTGTTTAAGTGCACTTTTATTTAAAGGCAACCGTTTCTTGTTCGTATTTTCTACCCATAATATTAGCGCTTGTTCCATTTTTTTTTTTTTTTTTCATTATAAGTGTTCTCGGACGAGCAACATTTTTCGCAAGAATAGATGATCCGGATGCGACCAAATTCCTAATCTTTTCTTCCTATTGCTTAATCGACAGAATAGTTGACTCATTTAAATTAAAATGCCTACCAATATCAGCTTGATTTTTAATTCTATCCAAAATTTCTATCTTTGTTTGAAGAGATATAAATTTCCTTTTTAACGACGGTCCTTTCTTTTCATTCGACATTGTTATGGCTAAAATTTTTTCAAGCAGTTTTATGGACAGTAAAAATCGAAAAAAATAACTTCCCTTCACTATGTTGTTAAAAATATACACACCCAATAGAAGTTTATACTGTATTTTGGACCACTTTTGCGGTCCCCACCTATTGAAAGAGTATAAATTATCGAAAATTCAGTGATATATTTGAGTGTTTATGGTAACTGATGCACATCTGTCTAGAAACCGGTCTTCCCCTAAAACTTTCATGGGAATAACACGTCAACGTGACAAATAGCTGTTTTCGAAGACATTTAGCTCTGTACACCGAACTGTGGCGCGTATTACGTGATCCGTTGCGATTTTTCTGTTATGTGAAAGATAATTCATTTCTAAATACCGTAAACCGCGTTGTAAAAGTACCGCGTTATAAGAAAATTTCTGCATTTTTCCAACCGCGTTGGAGCGAAAACGCGTTCTAAAGGTACCGCGTTGTAGGAGGCCTACCTGTATGTGTTTAAATGTATAATACATGTAGATTTATATATCGAAAATTATCTTTCTTTTAATATTTATTGTAATTAATCTAATCTTAAAAATTAAAATTATACATTAATTAATTATAGCCACATTTAAAAAAATAAAATTATTTATCTTATAACTTGTGTGTTGTTTTTACACTTTACAATAATGAATTATTTAAAAATTTATGATTTTATTAAATTTTATAAGTCTGTAAGTAATAAAATTTTTATAAAAAAATTCTTTAGAATTAATATAAATAAAAGGCACGAACTCAACTAAAAGTAGTTTAAATGAAAATATTTACAAAGGATATATAAAAGAGTAAAAACTAATTTTACTGTGTCCTCAATTGTAAATTCCACATTTCTTTGGAGATATAAAGGTGATCTTTATTAGAAATGTTTAATGTCTATTGTGATTGTTATTATATAAATAAATAATAGAATTTATTGTTTGTTCATGGATTACCCGAAAACAGGACAATCTGAAGAAAAGATTCTGAAAACTTTTATTATGCATTTGTCAATATTATTTTCAGTATTTGGTAAACTGAATAATGTAGTGCTTGCGACTGGTTTATACAGTATAACTTTTATGAAAAATTTAGTAATAAATATTTTAAAATTAGCGCAAAATATTAATATTTTTATATATTATTAAGTATTCTTTACATATATATATATTGTTTATTTAAAAAATTCAATATATTTCATGAAAGAATTATATTGTGTTCGTGTACTACAAAGCTGAATATTAACTAAGCTGATGACAAAGGAATGCAGAGTTTTAAAACGAATCAATACAACGCTTCTTTTATTATTAAAAAAAATATTTCCTACTTAGAAATAATAAAAATTAACATATATAAAAGTCTCAAATTAGTATAATAATTCAATTAAAGTACATTAAAATGTAATAGACTTACAGTTAATAATAATAATTAATTGTAGACCTATATATAATTATAATTACACAATATTCGATACTTTCGAGATCAAACAATATCGTAATTATCCGAATTTTGGATAATATATTAAAATGTATTTTAATGTACCTAATAAACATCATGAAAGACTTAACTATTTAATTTACCTTTTGTTATCATGTTATGTTTTCTCTACCTCTACTTTTTTCCATCACTATTTATATAATATAATATAATTAATATAATATAATCTTATATAATATATAATATAATATATAATATGAATTAATCTTAAACTTTTAAAAACAATAATATTTTTGATATTTTACAATTCAGTGCAATTTAGTAACATTTCATTTTATATTTATTAAAATTGATATGTATTTTGATATGCCATTTTAAATTATGTTCTTTCTGCAAATAATTTTTTTTTTTCACAATAACCTTAACTAATATAATATAAACTTAAAATTTTATTGATTAACAGAGAAACTTATTATTGTTTTTTTTATTTTTGTTCAACACCATTCACACACCATTGCAGAGTAATTATTAGATTTTTCTGTATTATTCTTTCGGAATTTTTGCTTTGGTTTCATATATTATAGAAAAATCGATATGTTTTTATTTCTAAAAATCTAGACATTCGTTTCATTGTAATTTTACAGAGGTTGGAATGCAAAATATGTAACTAAATTCTTTCATTATTCAAATAATACGACTCATCTTAGGAAAATTCCTAATCATTTATTGCACATTTTAATGTTTAAAATGTTCAAATTAGATATTAAATTATTATCCCTCTTTAAACTGTAAAATTTACATTGAGAATGATTTTTAGTTTGTCAGAAAATACGGTAAATTCTCTTATTTAAATAAGCATTTCCAAAAGTGTGGTCCATACGTCGGTACTGGTTCGTGGAAGAACAGAAATGCCGCTCCGAAGTAAACTTTAAAATTTGGATATGAAATAATGAAAAAATTAATTTTTTCAAATATTTTTAAAACTTTATTATTATTGTTCAAATCAAATTATTTATAAACAAAACAATCATTAACTTTGCAAAGTGTTGGTTTTAATTGAAATTATTGAATAACTGTAATGCATTTATATATTCGAGATAGACATAAAGAAAACTAACTGATTCCCAAATAGAAAAGTTTAAGAATCACTTTGTCGAAGTTAGTATTATATTTTCAGCCTAGTTATAGTTAGTCGTCAGTTCGTGCATTGCCAATGAGCTGACCACGTGGAGTTTTCCTAGTGTTCTCTGTGTCTAATACCAAAATAAATGCCACTTTCCATAAAAGACCCCCATCTTTATTTTGGCAGATTGTCCATGTGTTGCACTGCCTAATAGCATCAATTCATATAATCCAATCCTAATTCACGATAATTGTTTTATTCTATTTACACTATGAAATGGTTTCAAAACTTAATGCATTATGTTAAGATATGATATAAATTGTTTATGAACACGCAATACATAAAAAACTATGGAAATGATAAAATTATCAAATCTACATAATAGATTCAAAAATATTAATCAACTAAAGTTAAATATCTAGTAAACGTTTTCATTTGTTCACAATGATTGGTCTAAAAAATGAATAAGAGGAATTAAAACGTGATGTGTTCCTTAATTAACATCATCATGAATAACAACTCTCTAATAATAATATATTTCATCTGTAACTAAACTTAAGACGTGCATCAGTGGGGAGGTCTAACGGTCTGTAGACTGCTTGGATCCCCGTGTAAGGTTATAATTTGTATTGTGTAAGATTTTAATTCATGAGAAAGCTGGGTTTTGATTGATGTTTATACTTGTTTAATATAAAAACACGATATTATTAAGGTTGAATTTTTTATTGTATAAAATGTTCATTAATAACGCGATGAATGGTCACCTAGCAATGCCTTAGTTAGAGTGTTCCCAATACATACATATATATTTTACAGTATTGTATAATTTGTAAGATAAATTATTTATTAATACTCTTGAATACATCACAATACATGCATTGTGATGACCTGATAGTCCCGAGTTTTTCGAAGGCGAGCTATTTCGGTAGATAAACTGGTAGACAAGGACTGGCAGGCAACTCCTTGTCTGCCAATTTATCTACCGAAATAACTCGCCTTCGAAAAACTCGGTACTAACAGGTCATCGCAATGCATTTGCCGAATCATTTGCCGAATCGTTAAAAATAAACACGCCATCCAGATTTGTTTCCGAACATTTTTGTATTACTAAAACTTTCTTTCACAATTAACATCTTGTGTATGCGAAAGATCAGTCAGCATGTTGATAAGAATGAGCAACTACTGTACATCAGAGCTACAATGATTGAACATCGCCTTACTGGATTCGCCCTAATTCATTATCATTATTATTTTCATGTCGACATTGACGAAGTTGTAAATATATTCGCAACATTGCATTCAAGGAAGATGCCATTAGATGTGTTCTACGCAATTGATGTTTCCTTGAAAACACGAAACATTATTATACGATGTACTGTACATAACGTGTTGTTTCTTATTCCACTAGGCCCACCCCTGAAAATTTTCTGATGACGCGCCTTAATAATACAGTTAATAAACATGAAAGAATATAAATGATGCGAATTTGAAGTGCTTCGGGTAGTACATTTGTCGGCAATACAATTCCTAAAATAACCGTTAGAGTCCATTATCCGAGACCATTATTGTTAAAATGGTTAAAAACGGTTAAAATAAAAAAGAAAATCAAATAAACAGTACACAATAGAAAGATACTAAAATAAATCATCTTAAAATAAAATACATTCGTGGTTTATTTGAAAAATTGAAAACAAGCTAGAAATTTAATTATTATTCTTGTACCAGATCACACAAAAACAATAGGAAAATTGATTAATAGATAACCTAAAAATAAAAAAAAACAATGATTTAGAAAACGATAATGTATGCAGTGACGCGTTATCCTATGGGAAAAAAAGAGCAATTGTCTGGGATCCCCCACCAACAATCTTTTATAAACTCACTATTGTAGTAGTAATATCGAAATTTAAATTAAGGGCCATATCTGGAGACCTTAGATCGCCAAGTAGAGCAGACGCAAAATGCACTGGCGCAGCGCAAACCTTAAAGGAAATATCACCAAACGGGTATGACATCTGTATTATGAATTTAACAAATACCTATTTAAATTACATCAATGCTACCATTTTTTTAAGAATTTCTACAATTTGCCAAAAAAAAAAAAATATTCTATATTGATGTACTGTACAAAGTGATTCAAGGAGGACTATTTGGAGAATTGGTGGATTACCCCAAAACATTCTCCAAGAAAAATATCTGAAGTAAACACTGTACATGGACCCTCTACTTGAGATTTGCCAGGGCTCCTTAAACTATAACGCGCTACTGAACGTATGTTCTTTTGACTGTAGTTGTCGAGATAGAAGAGATACGTTGGCGAAAGTGAAAGAAAATTGAACACAAGAATTACAGAACGTAGAAATGCCATTAAGAATAATTTCATCTCGTCATCAGTGGTTCAAAATTGCAACAGTAAAGATTATGAAATTGTAAAAAATAGTATAAAATATATCATGACCGAAAATAATATTATATTAATAAAAAGAAAACTTCACGAATATACGTGAAGATTGAAATGAAATTATATCAAGATGTTTAAAATGAAGAATTTTAAAGTAATGTATTAAATTAATCATGTAGTAATGTCTAAAGTTGTATTAATAAGGTAAAACGTGATATAGGTTAAACGACATAATGCAAACAGGTAAATTAACATGCATGTTATATTTTAATGAATCATAATTCGTTTTGACATATTTTTATTAGCGAAAATAATGTAATAGATCAATATGATTTAAAGGTAAGATTGCAGATGTGAATGGAGCTGTTGGGACTTTAACACAGCTGTAAAGCATGTCCATAGGAGCAAAAAAGTCAAAGAAACCATACCTCTAAACGTGACCCTTCGCGAGATATCAGCCTAAAGCCTAACTTCCAGACGCTGTAGGGAGTTACGCTGTGTGCCCCGCTAAGTTTATCCAGTATTTATCAGTCAGTATAGCACGGTGATCAGACATTCTAACGATATTTATCTGTAAAAATAAAGAAAAGTCCGATACCCGACCGTTTGCGAGATATTCGTCTCCAAATATGAAACCTAACGGTGGCAGTTCTGGTCGTCATCTTGCTTGCAAGCAAGTTATATTATAGGCACGGCGATCAGTGCCTATAACAAAAATTAATGCATTAACTTCTACTGACCAAAAACAGTTTTTACCCCAAACTAACTGCTTATTCTCCAAGCTTCGCGTCAAGGATCGCTATCGCTCGTCTTGACCGACGTTCCGCATGTACGGTACTTGTTTATTTTGATTGATTTGGTTATATTTCATTCAGGCAGAGCACTTCTTTGTAAAGTGTTAGTTTCTGTTTCGGAGGTGAACATTTTGCTTTTAATATGCATATAGATAAAGATGTGTAACAGATATAGATGTGTAACAATACGCAATGTGACCCCTATGCTTCCGCACCACTTGAGTGAAGGGTCGACACCGCGTTGACGATGTCCACGTCAGAATGGCACTATTTTGTCCCGTCAGCCAGACACAGAAGTCGCGATGGCTATTTATTTTCGTTCGAATTTGTTACGCGAACGGTTGCATACGTAGGCAGTCGGATTCGGGATAGAGGAGATCTGAGAGACTGCGAGTCGAAAATGAATCACTCGGATATCAATTTAACAACTAATAACCATTTATTTGAAAAGGAAAAAATTACATAATATATACTACGTACTAACTAACCTATACACTGTAGGTGAGCGAGAGAGAGAGTTTACATGATATTGCGCGTAGACGTAAATACCTAAAGTTTGGTTGATCCGCTAGTAGACGTGGTAATCGCCCCGTCCTTACTACGTTTATTTACTTGTAATAATAATATATATATACATAGATTTGAATTTTTATGTAATGTTTTTTTTCCGTTCATGGGACGTTAAAGAATCTGTCCAATGTCGATTGCTTTTCTCTCTTCGGGATTTTTCGGAAGTAATTAATAGCATTGTCGTTGTAGAGATCTCCAAGCCTGTTAGCTTCAAGAATATCATATTTTTCTCTCCAAAACGTTTTTAATGTTATCGTTGAGGAGAACTGGCATGCTTCAAAACACTTTGAATTCGATCTCCTCATGTGGCGAATGTGAAGTTTGTTTTTTCAGTTCTCCAAAAATTTTTCTAGCTTTCTCTTGAATGATAGTAATACTAGTTACATCTCTTTTCATTTCTCTTTTCTTTATCCAAATTAAAAGCAATTTCTCCATTTTTTCATGGATCTTCCATGTTTCTCAGATGTGGTTTTCCTTACTCCTTTAGCTCCTTGAGTCTTCTTGATTATATCTTTCTTAGCTAAGATTGTGCTTACCGTAGACCCGTTTGAGCCACCTGGAAGCAAGGGAAGACTAATTGGCATTCATTATTTTACGTCGCTTCTTCTTGTGTTTGTTCTATGAGGTGTTCATTATCTAAACATATGTTTGTTGTCCGAACATAAAAATATTTCGCGAAAGTGTTCGTTGTCCGATTTGTTCGCAGTCCGAACTGTTCGTTAACCGATCATCCATTGTAAATTTATTCCGTCTCAAATTAGTAATGATTTGCCCCTGTATTGTACTGTACACCATAATTTTCCTTTAACAATAGCCTGTGCCTGTCATCTATCTAACACTTTTTGGGAGAACATTTTTGAAGTGAAATAACATGACTTCCGGTTTGCATCGGAAATTCTTATATAGTTAATCGGAGGCTCCTGCCCCTGATGTGTCTACATCTGGTTTCGTTTTCATTCTATCTTACTTCATTCTCGAGATTAAGGAAAGACAGAAAGACAGACGGACGACAGTGGAAATTTATAGGTCCACTGTCTTTATTTAGCTGATGTTTTCAGATTGCAGCCAAATAAAATTAAGTGCAGTTAAACAATTTATTAAAGCTGCATGTTTTTAAACAAAATTATTAAACAAAAAAAGAGTGGACTGATCGCGTAACCTCCTGGAATACAGATGTATTTACCCCTCCCCACCAAGGTGGTGGTTGATGGTAAGACAACATCATCCGCGGCCAATGAGACGAGACGAAGGTCGTCACCAACTATGACTCGAAGTTTGTATTTGTTTAGATTTGTATTTGTAAGCCAATAGCCAGTAAACGCTCACAACGTCATCGACTTCAAATGATGTTAGGCTCCAGGAGGATTTACGATTGGCCGCGGAGTACTCGATCAGCCGACTCCCGGTAGCTAACCTTCGTTCATGTTATATATACTAGGAAGAATAACGTCGCGAACTCGAAGGGTGTTTTTGCATTTTGTGTCGTTTAATTTATTTCCATTCGCAGTAAATATTTCGATAAGCTCAAAATATATTTCCTGATAACTATACTCTAGAAATTTATAGAATTCATATACTGAATATAAAATTTAACTAGAAAAGTTAAGAAAATAGTTTAAAAAATCTGTTATACTTGGTTTAATGGCGTGACTATTAATGTTCGTTTTCTTGTTGCCTAGCAGTGCAGAAACAATTTTTAAAAAAATATGTATTACGTAATAAATATGTTCTGAAAGAAAATAAACAATTACAGAGTTGTAACTCGTGAGTATTTTAGTTTCATATAGCTTGGAGGAAGTGATTAATAACTTGTCGGTGTACTAAGTAGCCGGTGCTGTTCCCTAAAGCTGTGATTCCTTATACAACTTTTGGTTCAATACAAATATTACATAATCGTTTTATCAATTGTTTTTTATTAATACGGGAAATCAAGATCCTTGTAATTCCGATGAATCCGTCTATTGTTATTCAAATTGGTAGGACCAGCGGAGTTTATCGTCTATAAAAATTCTCAAATGGGTTAATTAAGTAATCCATTCTAAGATAAGAAGCGATCGATATCAGATTGTTTACTTTTTAATAATAAATAACTGCAATTATTTGTATTGATGTTAAGATTATTTGCTTTAACAGGTTTGTAATACGTCGTTTATCTTGACTTGCACGTTGTTAATATTACCGAGCGGAAGCTGGCAAGATACAGTATCTCTTTCCGGTCTCTGAGGACATGCGCTCTGAGGTAGGAACGTATAATCGCGATAATTAACTGCAGCTATCACGTGATTTGGTGTCACCTCGTCTCTCCAGCAGAACACGTGATGCTCTAGGTACTGTACATAATACAGTAGTGTTAAGTTAGCGCTGGGTGTTAAATTAAAAGAACCGAGCAATTATTTATTGTAACATCGTCACAATGCCGAGCAATTTTTTTTTTATCATTTATTTAATTTAATATATATTTTTTCCGCCTCAAATTAGTAGTGATTAAGTGAAAATAGTCGTCATTAAAATGATAAAATTGAGTGTAAAACGCAAAGGGTGGGAGTGGGAATAAAGGGGATAAATATAAATAGAGTCAAATATAAAACTTAAACCGTGTAAAAATAAGAAAAGGGTCTAAAAAGGTTCACATGAAATATTTAGAAAGGACCATAAAATTTTAATAAATGATAAAAGGATTTAAAAGAATTTAAGAAGCTTAAGATTAAAAAAACATCTTTAAAATATTCAAACGGTTAATAGAAAAGTGAGAAAAAATAGGTTCTAAAATAGTTTAAATTGTTAAAACTTTTGCTGTTTTTTCCTTCTTACTACCGCAGTTCAAAAGTGAAGTTAGTATTTATAACCACTTTTTAGTCTATTAAGTTTTTAAGGCAGTTTATCTCGAAAACGCACAATATTTTATATAACATTGGTTTATAACCTTGTATAATATTGCATTATCTACAAAGTATGATATGTGAGATTGCAGTAAGCTGTGTAAGCATTTTTCCACTGAGCGAATGCAATTCGAAGGTTACACGGTTGTAACTTATAGACCTTAGCATAGCAGTTATCCGAAAAAAAAAAAAAAAACATTTTCCTCGCTCGATTAAAATCCCCTCAGAGGGAGAAAAAGTCGAGAAACACCATAGCCAATTGTCATATTTGCATCAATCTGCTCATTACGATTCGGTGATTTAACGAGAAATCGGGAATTTGCATCTGCAACAACACAGAGTTGGGTTATTTGCAATAAGTAAGGAATGAAGTTTACATCCAGAACAAGAAATCAGTTTAAACTACGAAAAGGAGGTGGAGTAAAATTGGGATACCGTCAAAATAAGAGGTGAATAATAGAATAATAGACAAAATACAAACTTTTTTTTATTGTTTTATTTATTAAAATCGCCATTCTTTTCTATTCATCTACTATCCGGTAAATTTAAATAATATTTTTTTTAAGAAATGAGTTAAACGAGTTAAAAGAACGATTTTATAATTAACAAACATATTTACACATGTTACACACTTTATTTATTTATTTATACTTACAAGTAAATAGAAAAGTTTCGAAAGACAGTTAATATCTACCCCAAAAATTAACAAATGTACGTAAAAACAAAGTTAACATTTACATAAAAATAAAAATACATTACATTATACATTAAATGTAATATAAATTAAAACAAAAAAGTATAAAAGTTCTTCGAAAGTATTTTTTTTTCGAATAATTACTTTTCTTTGATGTGCTTTGTTAACAGTTTCTGACACAATAATTAACGATGCTACAGTACGTTGTTTCAAAACATTTCCTTTATCTAAGTTGGAAATAACTCATATCTTATATATCTCATTAGTCTTAACTATATTTATATTTATATATATTTATTTATTTATCCGTCAAATTGTATGCTTGCTAAACGTGCAAAAATTTTTAAGTTTCTATGGCCCAGATGACGGTAGCCCAGCTGTAAAATTCGCCACTGATCACCGAGAAGTCCTTTCATGAGATTCAACTAATTTATTCGTTTTTGACGCTCATTCCGCTTGTTTCTATTTTTCAGCGTTCTGTTCATTGGAGTACTGTGTAAAAGGTGTAGTCCGAAATCAGCAAGGGTTTTTTTCTCTGAAAGGACCACGAATAAACCCATAAGCTCACCAGTGGACTCCCATAAGATCATCTCTATCAGTCTGCTTGTTCATAGACATTTGGTTTTATATCCAGGTACCAAGATTATATGTAACTATCTCTCTCGATGTAAAATGGATACGTATTATGTAAACGGAATCGTGGAAATTTTGAGTGCGATTGTAATAAATAAATCGTTTGTTAAATGTTAAAAGTGCTCGTATTTGGTCTTCCGCACCAGTCTCATTTAATAGTCTCCTTCATCCGTGTACCGAATTCCTCATACAGAATTTTTCCACCTCTCTGTGATGTCGATAGGTAGACGTCAATAAATTTTGATGTCAGATCCTGACGTTTTCATAATTTATAACTCGGTAACACAATCGATCTCCAGATAAAATTGCTAAATATTAATGTAAGCAGAGTTTAAAATGCTTCTCATAAGATTCTTTCCCCCATTAACTACACATGTGCGCTCGTCATGAATTCGGAGAACTCAAGAGTCACGAAGGGGACTGGCATACAAGAGAGGAAGGTTTTCGTCTTTCATCCCAGAGGAACGGCGGACGAAAATTTCATATGCTCTTCTGATCACCTTTTGAATTCATAACCTTTGGTGTTATTATAATTAACAATTTTTTTCTTTAGCCTTATACGTAAATATCTGCCACATCTATAACATTACCTAAAGATGTCTTGCATGTGTAATAATAATTAAAAATATATAAAAATTTTTAAATAAAATATCGTAGCAGATGGTGTCACACGCGCAATTTTAAATGTTGCGGGGAAAGTTAAGCACTTATTGCTGGATTTGTATTTTTTTTTAATATACTTAAATATTGAGAATTTAATTAATTTATATTATTAATATTTAAATATGTTTAAAAACTTTAAATGTGTTTAATTGAATGCAACGACTCGATTGTTAAATGTTATAAACTAAATCTTTTATGGATTGTTCCAGTTTTCCAAAATGTAGGGATCAGAACTTTATTTATTTTCATTGATTATTATTAAACATTATTGTTGATATATCCATTATTTTCAATCAACGTTATTGATTACATTTAGAAACTAATGTAAATAGTTTTGTAATGTAGTTCATATCTTTTGTAATAAATGTACTGTACTGTGCAGCTAATGGATTTCTTTGAATTTAATATTGGCTTTTTTCAACTGAAAAATTATGCAGTGTATATTTTCGAATAGTTAAACTTATGATGTTAAACTGTGTTCCTCATTTTAAATATATGCATATTTATTTATTTATTTATTTAAACAGCTATTTTAAAATTTATTTTACTGTTTATATATTAGTGTAAAACGAATTTTTACACTAATATATGTGTTTTTAAAATGAAATTTCTTCTGATTCTGTTTACAATAATTTGTTTGCATCGTATTATTTCAGGAAATGGTAAGTAACCTAAGTGAGCTGTTAAATATAAATGAACTGAATGCTAAAAATTAATTATTAAGATAACTGAAAATATTTTGTAATGTTTAAAAATATAAAATTCAATTTTGATAAATATGTAAAAATTAGAAATTCCTTTTATATTTAGGCAGAATTAGGCAGTATATTGTTAGAAATTTACAAATATGAAAAGGATTTTCTAGATAAATTATTATTATAGATAAAAGCTTATCATAATAATGTATTAATAACAATTCAGATTAGACCAGGGGTCACCAAACTATGGCCCGTGTGCTAGATCCGATCCACAAAGGTCAGTTCATCCGACCCGCCGCCTCTGTGCCACATATGAGCTAAAATGTAATTATTTATATGAAAATATCATAGATTGTAAGATGAACTTACTATGCAGAAAAAAAGTAATATACGTATAAGTAAAAATGCCAAAATTGGTCAAATCTGATTTTTGCATTTGACAGTAATATGAGTTTTAGGTAAATCAGTGAAATAAAAAATTCGGTGATTTTTTGCGACTTTGAATATCACAGCGCTTTTTGTGTAAGTACTGTACTTGCAATAAAGTTTCTAAGAAAAGCGATTACGAGCTTGCTGCAGCAATCGTGTTTGTGTATTGTTTTTTTTTTGTGAATTCAGTATACTGTATTGAACAAAATGGTTATGCGGCCAGCGCTCGTCAGTCTCTTAGTTATCTGGCCCGCTGTGAAAAAAGTTTGATGATCCCTGAATTAGACGATTGGTAGATTACAATTGAAATTTATCTTTACATTGTAGATTCTTTTATTGGTTATTTCACTTATTAATTAAAGTGAAATAAAATTTTGTTTTCATTTTACTTGTTTTCTTCTCATTCATTGTCTTAACTAACTTTTTAAATCATTATATAGCCTAATTTTTACGGAACTAATCAGCAACTTATATTTATTTTTTATTCTCTTGTGTTTTTATAATTTTGCTTTCGTATCTCATTTGTATTATTTTTTTTAAGATATCCAACCAATACATTTATTTTATTTAAAATAATTGGTTAATAATTGTGATTGGGTTATTTCCGAACAAGATACGGTCGTAAATTAATGATAGTGGAAAATTTTTTTGTGATTGCTTACTTCACTATACAGTACGTTTATTCGCCAACGGTCTGACCACATGCAGTTTTCGGGGGTTTTCTTCACGTTAATAACACCTAAATAAGGACCAGTTTTCCATAAAAGGCCTTCTAGGAGGCACTCTCCCCTGTCACATCGTCCATGTGTTGTGTTGCTGTACACCAATAAAACCATAAACCAAATCATTATACGTTTATTTTCTTTATTTTAGAAATGCCGTCCCTTCTCAATTATTCATTTCTCATTTCTCCAATCTTTTCGTTTTGTAACTTGTGTGTCATTAAGTTATACAGTATTTTTTTCTAAATTCTAAAAAGGTTTCATTTGATGGGATAAGGTAATGCTATACAACAGAAATCTACTGTACCAAAGAAAGGAAAAGTGGAGGACTGTCTATCGAGACTGGCTCGAATTTAGGTGTTAAGACAATATTGAATAAAATTATTTTAATACTTAAAATCTTAATTTATTCATTGAAATTTAAAGACAAACGGAAAATTCCGAATAAAACGGTTTTCTAGAGCAAAGATTTGCAAACTACTCCCAAGAAGTCAATCGTTTATCTAAAGCAGCGGTGGAAAACCTAATCCAATGGTTTGTCAAAATTCAATTCGAAATTTAAAGACTGAAAATCGAGAGTTAAGTACAGTACAGGTAAACCCCGTATAACACGGGAGTTACGTTCCAAAACATTGCCGTGTTATGCGAATCCGTGTTATACGAAACAAAGAACTAGTGCGAAAAGGGGAGTTAGGTTTCAAAAATTAAAAAAACATGTTGTTAAATCCTTATTTAAATCGGATTTATTATTCATTTTTTAAATCTAAATTATTATTTGTTGAATGAGCATTCAAAGTAGCCACGAAAACAATTGGAATGCTAGCACGGAGTTACGCGGAGGTATAAAAGAACGCACCCTTTATTATATTTTATGTTGTACGAGGGTTTTACCCAATTTTCGAACCGTGTTAGAGTGAACCCGTGCTATAAAAGCACCGTGTTATACGGGGGATGTACCCAATTCTTGAACCGTGTTAGAATGAATCCGTGCTATAAAAGTGCCGTGTTATACGGGGGTTACCTGTATTTAATAATCTGAGTAATTAAAAACAATTAAAAAATAATTTATAAAATCTTAATATTTTCTAAATATTCAATGTGAGTATCTTGAAATAATCAAGCTAGCCTCTGCGTTAACTTGGATCGTGGTGGGTTCATTATAGCTGATTCAGTGCTCTAGTTACTAGGAATCTTTTGGGAGTCGATAAAAAAATTTACTTATATCATATATAAAATTATAAGAAAGGTTGAAAACCCTTGATTTAGAATACAGTAGTTAATTTTTAATGATGAGGGGCTTAAGGTTTCGACCTACCGCTCAGGGAAAGCCGGGATCAATTCCCGATTCCTGTGATCTGTGCGATATATAAAGAAAAACTTAAAAGTTACTATCGATCGATTTTTGAAATTAGTAATTGTGGAGTCAATTGAATAAATTTATTTAGATTTAAGATCGGTAATAAATTACACTAGTCTACTCAATGTAAAATCAATTTTATATACTATCTTGCAGGAAATAGTAGTGCAAATTACATATGGAGAATTGCTGGAATTCAGGTAACAAAATTTGTATTATTAAATCTCATTTTACTAATATATATGCTATATACGTTCGTTATTTTTAGCGTTCCAATTATTTACAATTGGATGAATCTAACAATAGTATAATTGGAGGAGATGCTTCATATTTGTTTAATATCATTCAACAAAAACTGAAATTTAGGTAATAAAAATTTCCTATTAAAAATTTAGTCTAAATATATATCATTAACTATTTTATACACGTCCTTTATCACTATATAAAATTGAATGCATTCTTTTTAAAGTTTTGTGTAAAAAACCGCAATAAATTAATTTAAATAATTTATATATAGTCTATATTTAAAGTAATTGTTCAGTAATATAACAACAGATTAAAATTTGTTATGAATGACGAGGAAATAAGCGCAGTAGTTAATGGTCCGACATATTGTCGCAGTCAGTCGCAATCCACTTGTTAATATGTTACAATAATATAGGGAAAACAGTAAAATGTATTTATCTCATTTTTTTCCATAGTAATATATTATGTTCCCGTCGAACGTTATTCACTTGTCGGACTGAACCGACCGGAATAACATGGCGGATTATGACGGTATAGACGCTTTTCTTAGGTTTTAGACCTTTTCTTAGGCATCGATATACCATGTTTCTAAGTAAAAAATGGTGATGCCGAATGGTATAAAGAATATTATCGATTTAGGATATTAAAATAATAAAACTAATAATATTAATACATAATATGACAATATTACTATTACTAATAACAATATTAATAATATAAGAATATATAAGAATAAAAATAATCATAAATAATATAATGTGTCATGAAGTAGCGCCATCCGTGAAGAAAGAAAGACAACAATCAAACTTTGGTTACTATATTAATAATACTGTATATATTAATTTGTACAGTTTATAGTAAAACATCCCTTACTTGACTAGCTGTAGGGTTTACAATTTCTGAACACATAAGTGAAGTGGTCATATAGATGAGGTTACGAAAAAATTGATATATAGAACTGTATAGTAACTTACCGTACAAAATCTTAAAACTTTAATACAGATTATAAAACTGACAATGATAATAATAATAATATATTCACATAATACTGTACATCTTTTGCAATATACAGTTTTAACCTTTCATTCAGGACAACTAGTGGACAAATCTCAACCAAACTTCGTGTACACATTATCCTGAGTATGTGGTATCAATTTTCTAAAAAAATTTTACCTTCAAAATTCATCCATTTAGTCAAAATTTAGTGTTTCTCTCCTCTTAATATGCATATTGAGTGCATTTTCTAACAAAGTTTGGGAGTTAAGAAAAAAAGTGCAATAATTTTATTTCAGTTATAGATGCTGTTACAGATATGGAATGTGGAATTAACGATTAATGCATGTTCATCAATCTATAAAAGAATTCTGTAGAGCGTTTTCCAACTCTTTTTTTTCATCTAATATTCCATGAAAAAACAAGAACAATAATAATATGCACACAAAGGAGATAATGTTAAATTTTGCTTTAATAAATGAATTTTCGAGTTAATTTTGTTTCGAAAATCAAAACTATATACTCGGGAGAATATGTATGCGAAATTTGGTTAACCCTGTTGACGCCAATACAACACACTCCAAATCAAGACGGAGCTGCCACCAGGTTACACAACATCTTGCTGACATGATGGATTCATGACTTCTTGTGATTGTTGCCACACATGAACACGACTATCATCTCGAACGAGCTGAAAACGAATTCATCTAACCACATAACACTGCGCCAGTAATCCACTGTCCAATTTCGATGTTCATCGGCCCAGGTGAGGTAACGGTACATTGCCTTATGCCTGGATGTTAGTATTGATACCAGAATGGGTCGGCGACTACCAAACCCGAAGGAATACAGTGTACGTTGTACAGTACAGTGCATTGACTGATTGGTTCAGCAGTGCACCTGTTGAATTCTGATGTGATTTGGCGCCGAGTTGTTCTTACCTGTCTTGGTTAACCACCGGCAGTCACGTTCTTGCATCAGTCATGGGTGCCCACACTGCGCACGTGCTCTACTGATGTCTGTCCGGAATTTAAGCATTCCTTGTAAATCCTTGAAATTGTTGCACGAGATAATCCATGAATATTGGCCACCTCGATGGTAGAATGATCCATTCTTCTTGCTCCAAAAATCTGCCTACAATCAAACGGCAATAAATCCTTTACACGATCAATTGCTACTCTAATCAAGCTCACACATAACCGAAAAGTATCGTACCAATGGTGTCAAATGCAAATGTTTCAGCTCAAAGCATTTCCCCTGTGGGTAAAAATTACATATGCTGCTGTCTCTAATTTTTTGGCGCTTCTGTTTATATAAAAAGTATTTAGTTATTTCATTGAATTAAAATTATAATTATAAATTTTGTGAAAGTTATCATAAAAAATAAAATTATTTCATTTACAGATATATTTTGATAAAACCAATTCCCACTTCATTTGGAATTAAAAGAGAAAATGGAAGTTGGACTGGAATGGTTGGACAACTTGTGTATAACGTAAGATACAGCAAAATTAAATACTTTTGTAAGATATGTTGACTCTCGATTTGGCGACTACCGAAAATAACAATTTCGTAAACAAATCTGGATTGAAACTATATATTAAGCTAGAACTATCGTGGCTTCAGAGCGGAATTTAGGCCATGGCCAGCGGCGCCTGCAGACTGACATGAAAAAGACGTGACATGGGCTATAAAAAGGCATCGTATATTGCGCAAAGAGCTTCAAACTCTTATTCAACGTCGAATCAGCGCTCCCACAAAGTCGCACTGGTTGCAATCGGGGCTAACTTGACCTTGAAAACAAGGAATTGTGTCTTGGTGAGGAAGTTGCATGGGTCAATGGACGATATTGTTCATTCGGTTTTTTTTTTATATTTGCAGAATAGGCTAGAAGTCACAAATTTTCTGTTGTTTGGGCCCAGTTGGAGATTGGAAAAAGGGGAACCGAGACGAAAAGGTGCACGTGCCTCAAATGCTCCAATGTATTGTTACCTCGTTACCAGGGCTGTTATGTCTAATGTACTCGAATAATACCACGTCCACGGGTGTTATGTCGAGCTGTTGAAATGCGGAATAAGTCGAGTTTTTCTGCACAAGAAAATTTATATGCGACCGCAACACTGAATTTTACCGCAGTGACTTTTTAGGCGTCTAAGTAAACAGTTAAGCGGTTTCTCAGGGATTGGATTGTCCATGTTAAGTCTAATCTTCAACTGAAGTTAAAATAGGAAATATTTATTTATAATTATTAGTAAATATTGCATAATTTAACTTACTTAGTCGTTTTAAAAGTTGACTTGTTATGTGTTTCAGACCAAAAATATGGAACCAATAAGAAAAAAATAACAAGAACGCATTAACAATAGCACTAATGAACAATATCTTTACAAAACGTGTTCAGTATATCCACCATAGTGTTGGGATCATCATTTCAGGTGGTGAAGAACTTGTAACTTGTGCTATTTCTGTTCCTATTTGTAACTTGTACTCTTTTTTTACAACTTTTCCTTATGGTGCTTTATGGAACTCCGATTTCTGTGTTGGTGCATCTCAGAGATTTCTTGGCGTTTGCGAGCACATCAGTTCTCATCTCCTCGCTAACGGCAGCCCATTTCGAGACTAGTCATGGACAGATTCTGTTTCTCTAAATTTCTAAAGCACTTTCCCCACTGTGCTATGTGTTATTGGCAGTTCAACTTCTCAACTTAATTCTCTAATGTTTAGACACTAAAGAATTGAATTTTTGAATTTTGCCATTTCACTTTCTGTCCATCCTTCTCGGCCACAAAGGAGAATTATTTGTACTCGGTCTTCCTTATTAGCACCGTCACATAATCTGTAATAAGAAAAAATTTTCCATTGTTTACAAACTAGGCTCACCCTATATATTTTGAAGTTATCAATAGCTAAAATAAAATCATTGCTTTAAATAGTTATTTTATTTCAATAAATAAACAGTTGACATAAAGAATGCTAGCTAGCATAAGATATATATATATATCTTATGATATATATATATATACAGTCATAGCTAACTGAATAATAAATTTATGGAAAATTATTATTTATTTGTATTTGGGCTTTAGAAAATTAAAGTTAAAAATACGGAAGTTTCTGACGTTATCATAAATACACAAGAGTAGCATTGTCAATTTCATCTTATTTATATGTAATGTTCTTAACTTTAATGATAATTTCCTTATTCAATATTAATTACTTTTATTTAGTATGTATATCTATATTATAACACCAATTAATAAAAAAATTGAAGGGAAACAATTAGTCTGAAAAAGATCAAGAACGTATCTTTACTGTGTATTCAGTATATGTTTCACTATGTATATATATGTTACTGTGAAAGACCGAAATTAGAGAATGTCGATATTCTCCGGTGAATGTCGACACACGTAAAATACGTCGGTGAAAGTCCGAATATTTGGTTATAATATTATACATTCGAACAATCGCCGGTGTATGTCGACAAACATAGATAAGCTTTGGTGGAGGTCGAAACGACACTCGAGAAGCCGATGTTGACAGAGAGGCGACAGTCTGTTGTCAAATCCTTTGTGGGTAGCCGGAGGTAGGACAAGGTCGTACCTCTTTTCTCCGGCAACGGTTTGGTGAAAACCACTTTGTCACTGGATGGCGTTTTTGTTCTTTTGATTCCGTGAGATGAGGATCGGTTTGTCAGATCGAATGGTGGAGGATGAGAGGGGTCGTCGGTAATGCGTCGGCGATATTCGAATAAAAGACACCATTAACAGATCAGTTCGTAATCACGTAATGACGTAATCAGTTCGTAATTTGTAAAGAAAAGTTACTTTCCATAGTTGAGATTTCTTCTCAAGAAATATCGCTGAGAGAAGCAGCTGCTGCTAATTCGAAAAGTGGGCAAGGCTATACACGCTGTCATTGCAAAAAGAAGTGTTCCACGAATAAATACAGTTGTAAAAGAAAAAGACTCTTGTGCAATTCAAAGTGCCATAACAAGTTAAGTTGTTGAAATAAATAACATTATATAACGTTAATCACATAATTTATGTCTAAGTTTATTATTGTATTGTTTTCTTTAATGATTAAGAATGTACTGTTCATTTTAGGTTCAACAGTTTATTTACATGTACTGTCCTATTTTCACATATTAAAATGTTGCATTTTTGTCTTAACGTAATAAAAATATTTTTATTCAACATTCACCGTCAGTGCATGCTGAATGTCGACATTTGCCGGTGTAAGTGAGAAATAATGATATTTAGCAAATATTTCGTACATACACGAAACGACTGTGTGAATGCTGACATTCACCGGAGAATGTTGACATTCGCCAGATATCGGTCATTCACAGTAACATATACAATAAATAGGCCTATAAATATACAATGAAATCCGGCTATATGACGTAAAAGTCAAATTTAATCAGAAATGATACTTAACGCTTCTATTATCGATATAGTGTATGTTAGTTGACTTTCACGTAAAAGTAGCCTTCAGTTTCGGTAATTCTCTATCTATATCTGAATTCTGTTCCATCACACATTTTTCACAAAACAAGACTGTGTGTCGATTATTTAAAAACTGTTAGATATAATAGAATATATGGCAAGTTTTCAACAAATGTCTTCTTTTATGGGGTCACCTGCCATAAGCGAACACTCGGGACGGTTTTGATCTCAAGGTCTGTTGAACCAGGAAAGGTTGATAAACCCAAAATACTGTATATAATGTATATTTATAATTATCTATAAAAACGCAAATATAAGTCAAAAACGATTATTTTTGTTCCAATGTTTTAACATTACAAATACTGGATGATTGTAATCGAAGTTCTCTTATTCAACATTGTCTAGCGAGATATTTAGCAGTCCGAATGTGACCAAATCTGGTTTCAACATGCAAAAAACACTTTCGAAAAACACTATACCAGACTTTGATTGAATTTAGACTGTTATAGCGTTGAATAGGTTTAATAACTTCAATTACAAACAGCTGAAATAAAAATTAATTATTAATAGAGAGGTTGCGGCCGAAGTTTTCATCTGTAAAACATGAACGTCGAACGTCGAGCGCCTCATACAAGATAGCGGAGCTCGACGTTCGACGTTCACGTTTTAAAGATGAAAACTTCGGCCGCAATTTCGCTATTAAACTTTCTATATTATAGATATTAAAACATTTAATGTCGAATATTTTTATTTTTATAACTGCATATACAGAATGCCGATCTCGCTATTTCTCCTCAACTTGTAACATATGAAAGGTACCAAGATATTGAATTTTCTTCTCACATTAAATTTCAATCAGTAACTTTCGTGACAAGAGCTGCAAAGAAATCATCAAATTGGGGATCTCTTATAAAACCTTTTTCTTTCTTGGTAAATATATTATTATTTATAATTGTTTTAAGCATCTTTAAGAAATGCAATTGAAATTATTAAAAATATTTTAATAGCTCTGGATAACTACAATTTGTGCTACTGTTATAGTTGGATTAGTGTTACATTTAATTGTCGACAGAGAATTGAAATTAAAAGATATTAGTAAAGTTTGGTCTAGAAAAAAAGTCTTTTGGTATCTCTTTGGCACTTTTATGTATAAAGGTAAAATAAATAAGAATTTATTTATTTATATACTTAATATAGGTCCTATAAATACAGTATAATATATATTTCATACTGATTTTTCAGGTTTAAATATAGAATTTATACGAGGATTTCCATCCAGATTTATAATTATAGTTTGGTGGTTTTCCATTGTAATTTTAGTTTCTAGTTACAGTGGAAATTTAAAATCTTTTATGACTTCCCCATCATTCGAAGAAATTCCTGAAACTTTTGAAGAACTTTCAAATGCTGTATTAAAATCTCAATATTCTTGTGGTTGCTTGGATGGAGGTAGTGCAATAACTTCGTTTATTGTGGTATGTTATGCATAATTTTCTTATTTGTTATGCTTATGTACATTTTTGTCCTTTTTTCAATAACAGAAATATTATTTTTTTTTTTTAGAATGCAAAATCAGGATATGCAAAAATTTTAGCAGATCACGTCAAATTAAATAAAAAATATTTTTCTGATAATGAAATAATCGATGAAGTGTTACAAGGGCAGTTTGCTTTCATTCATACATTTTATTATATAAAAAAGTTAATGAAAAATCATGAAAGCAAACAATTCATGGTTTCAAAAGATAAGTTTGCAAGTTTTAGCTTAGCATATGGAGTACGTAAGGGTTTCCCTTTTACGAAGAATATCAGTAGAATGTAAGTTGTTTACGTTGATCATTTTAAATATATATATATATATTAACCAAACCTTTACAAATTAAATATTAAATACATATTTATGTATTTAATTTGCAGCACAACTCGATTATTTGAAGCTGGAATATCAAATAAAGATGATATTTTATCAATTCCTGTAAGATCGTCGTCTACAAATACTTCTGATTTTAGACCATTAACAATTGAAGATTTTTTCAGTACTTTTGTTCTTCTTATTTTTGGCTACATGTTATCTATTTTATGTCTAATTTTTGAACTGTTATGGATCAAAATACATCTATTCTTTAACGAACTTATTAAAACCAGACCATTGTAAGTTAAAATAGTTAACGTGTGTTTTAAATTCATATATTTGATACTTGAATTTATATGTATAAATTTAAATATAAATTCCAAAATTTTAGATTTTAAGATAATGTTATCTTGCATGATAATATTAAAACGTCCTATAATTTCTGAGATCTTTCATGGGGGTATGTGAGAGATGAAAACATTACACCTTCATCCATGCAGTACAATCGAGTTTTAAATATTTGTAATATACCTTCATTCACTTATGTCTTCAATTCTAAATATAATTATAGAAAAAAATGTTTTAATTTTTACTCATTACTGTACAAAAATATTGACCTTGAAGATTATAAACTGTATGTAATTGGCGGGAGATGTTGCATCTACCGATAAGAGCATTTTCTTTTTCTAGTGTTATGATTTAATTAGCATAAAAATACAAGTACTATACATCTAAATTATGTAATAATATTAATTAAGATGTTGCATGGAGTAAGGTACATAAGTTAACGTTTTGATGTATTTATGAATTTTCGAATAGAATTGTTCTTTTTCCAAGAGGTTTTTTTATAAAGTGAGTAATGTTTAAATGTTAAATACGCTTAAGTGAAGTACGTATTGGACGAAGGAGAATATCCACATCCATTAATATTTATTTGATGTGCATAATAAAATGCTTAACTGCAAAAAGGTAACTAAGAGCACTTAGACATCTTATTATATAGAACTCCTCAATTATTTTTAAAGTTTCTTTCAAAATATATCAAGCATAAACATTTTCTACATTGTTTACAATCTATTCAATACTATTTATAAAATTTACAAAGATGTTTATTACGTGAAAAGTAACAAATTACATTTTTTTATAGTATATGAATTTATGTTTATTAATTTGAAAACGTTCGAAACATTAATTTTGCATTAATAATCCTTTCATTCGTAAGATATTACCTCGAACTGAAGACATTTTTTTAACGGAGTGATCGAATGGAATGTTCCAAACTTCATTTACAAGACTGCAGAAAGATGTACAGTACTGTACAATATTTACTTAAATTATTATATTTACTAAATTACCTAAATAAACACTCGAATATTTGCTGTAATTACAATAAAATTTTAATTAATATTTTGAATTGTAATTATGAGCAAGTAAAAGGTTTCACACGACTTTCGCGACACTGAAACAGGAGCTTAGAGGAGACAGAAAGTAGCCCGATAATTCAATTAAAATATTATATAGTTTTAATAATAAAAAAAGCTTCCATAGAGTACAATTTGTTGAATTATAATAGATTTTTCTGTTTATTGCCGCCCCATTTAAATATCGACATAGTATAATTTTAATTGAAAAATCTGAGAGCTCGGACTTTACACATTTGACATTTGACTATTTTTATTTGTTTCGGCAATTTTCCATCCCTAACAATCTACTGCCCATCTTGCCCATCCCTATGTCGACCCCAGTGTTCGCCTCAACTCTTTCTTCGGGAGACAGGTATGACACTGCCAGGATGGTCGAGTCATCCTTCTGCTCTTGAGACCTGGAATCAAATCCGGGCAGTCGAAAACCTCAGAAATTTTTCCAAGATATCTATTCAGGATATGTTGGGACTCGTCCTTCACCATCCGGCTACCCTATCGTAAACCTGGCCAACCCATAATGAGATTGAAAGAGAAAAATAGATAAATAAATAAATAAAATGGGACATAAATAATATAGCATGGGATGCATTTTATTTTACATTTGAGTCAGCAGTAGAATATAGTCTATCCAAAATTTAATAACCCAAGAAGAAGAGCGTTTCTCTTTCAAACATTCTAAATATTTGTTCAATGTATTGAATATTTTCGGAATAAAAACTAAAATAGTAAATTTAAAACTTTCAACAAAACTTATAATTTTTTACAATAAGAATTCTGAATTGGCTTTTTTAATATGTCGAATTACATAAATTAAACATAGCACATTTTGCATATAGTATACACAGCACATACTTATAGTTATAGGTCTATTGTATGTCCTATACATCATACTTTTAGTAAAATAATTGCAATAGACAGTGTAGTAAAACCTCATTTATAAGTTTTGCATTTATACTTTCATACTTACACGTTTTATTTAACATTTCCCAGTTGACACAAGTCTCGTATAATCTAATGTTATTTTCTTTCACTTTATTTGTTTAATTTGTCAGTCTCAACACTACATATAGATTCACTTTTACGAGAATTTTTATTTTTTCCTAGGTTGAAATAAAATACTTTTCAGTAAAATGAGAAATTTAGTTCTAAGTATGTTTATTTTTCTTACCCTCCAATTTATGATTGCTGTCTTTCGTAAAGCGATCCTTCCTCTTCAGCTATAAATTATGTGAGTGGTCTTAAGAGAGAAACTAACGTTTTTAATTATAGGAGAAACGAGAAAAATTATAAAAAGCCAATGATGACGAATTTTGAAATTTAAATTGATGAGAAAAGAGAAGCCTAAAAACAAATAGGACCAAACTAATTTCGTATTTCTAAATTAACAAAAATTCCCCAGTTCAACCTGCTCCATATATAACACACTATTTAAAATAGTGGTTCTCAACCTGTTTACCTCAACCTCGAAATATATATATATATACTTATTTATTTTAAAAATTTAATTGCATATTATTCCAATTATCTACTATAAAATTATCTACGAATAAATTCGTAGATAATTTCATGTGTTTATTTTATTGAATATAATAAAGTTTATTAATTTAATGCTTTCTTGTTTCGTGAGAATATTTCAGAATAACAGAATAATTCATCGATTTTTTTGAATATATTAATGCTAACTCTCGGAATAATGAAAAAAAAATACTGTATATTAATGGTGTTCTGCGGTCTCGGAAATGTCCAGAACAATTAATTTAAAATAATATTTATAAATTTGTTTTTAATATTTATATACAATATAAAAACACAATATACATACAGTAGTTCTTTATTCTCAGATTCACAAAATTCCCCATGAGTCACACGTTACGTGTTTTAACGTCATAATAATAAGTTGACAATACAATAGGAAAAATATGATAATAATCTTGACAGTAATCTAATAAATCAAATGAATTCATTTATATGTAAAATAATATTAAAACTTGTTAGTGTTCATATATTTATACTTTAATTATTAATGCATAAATATATCGTAGAATTTTCTTTTCTAACTTAAGTACATAATAAAAATATTAAAATAATGTCATTTAAGACTAAATAAATGCTTATATTAAATTTATTCTCCAATTAAACATTGAAAATCGATATGTTACTATTTTAATTTGAGTCTACTGTAACTCATTTAAATTTTTCAATGGAGTTGAAGGATAAAGAATAGAATATATGTCATTCTTTATCCTTTAATTGACGGAAAAACTTCAACCTTTCCTCTCTATCAAGTTCAGCAACTACTACATAAAATATCGAGGAAAGCAACTGATTTATTTACAATTGAAACTAAAATTTGACAAAATTCGTGCAATTGCAGCTCAGATATGACCCCGGGTTGTAACTCTGGATCTCAACTTTGTCAGAGGAAAAGCTGAAACAAAGATGACCTTGCAGTTCAGTCAGCAGAAAAATATTTTATAGAGTATATAAACAGTAGGGAAGAAGAAATTTTGTACATAGGTAAACTGTTTAATTTTTTTTTAATATTATAAAATAAATTAATTAGGTAATAATTTTAAAAACGTTTGATTTTAAAGTAAACAATTAATCAATTTTTATTTAGAATAATACGGAGATTCTGATAGCACAAACTTTACGATATTTGCGAAAATAATTATTTAATTTAAATAAATGATGCATATGAAAAGTTTTAGATTGATTTTTTTTTTAATTAGAGCACAATTTATCGATTAATAATCTATTAAATATCAATCTTCTATTAAATAATGACCAAATTTTACCAATGTACGATCAGATGCTATTGTATACTAGTGTTTAGTTAATATATAATAACATCCAGTGCCGTATCTGGGGCAGGTGCAACAGGTACACCCTCACAGGGCCCACTTGGAAGGGGGGCTAAAATGCATGTATTTTCCCAAACTTAATTAATTAACCTAATTAACAGGGCACAGGAATGGCTAGTTACGGCACTGATAACATCTATTTATAACACGAAATTAATCAATCGTTATGTGTTATCTTTCATCATCATCAACATACGAAGCATCATAATTAAAATATGAAACAGCCATTGTTGATAATGAAGAACAGAACTTCAGAAATTTTTCATTAATGGTTTAATCCAGATATAACCCGTTCATCATTAATTGGTTACTCCCATTGTGGCCATGAGATAAATTTTTCAATCTCATATAAAGAACGTGAAAAGACGTCATGATGCCCTTAGGACAGAAACAGTTACCCTTCCCCTCAAAAATAAAAAAAAAAAAACAACACGCAATTCAGATAAAATATATGATAGCTTCCGGTTAAAGCTTCGAATATAATAACAACGTATATATATAAAGAGAGAATTTATAACTCTCTTTCTTAGGAGGAAAACTTTATCTGCGCTTATATAAAAGATTTTTCACTAAAGATTATTTCCTTTAAAAGTTTCACATCTTAATTTTCGGCTGTTTGTCGTTAATTAAATTAATAACATTTGCACCCCTTATTTTAAATCTAAAGGTAAGAGATTTATTTTAATATGTTAATTTGACTATATATATATATATTTTTTAAATAAATAGATTATTATAATTTTGCGTGTTTTAAAAAATATAATATCTAATTATTTAGTTGTAAGATTTCAAGTAAAAATTGTGATTTATATTATAAATATAATGTATGAAAAACCGGCAAGTATAAAACGTAATAAATTATTATAAAGCAGAGAGAGAGAGAGAGAGAGAGAGATTACAATCATACTATACACCTGAGCATTTGCTGAGAGAAATCTTTATTAATAAACGTTTTCAATCTACTGCCGTAGGCCACTATCAGGTTTTAAAATAAGTTTAACAAAATGTTTCACTTATAGAACATTCTGTTTACATTTGAAGTATTTTAAATACACATTTAAAGTTACACAAATTAACTAACCGAGGATCGAATTCGGACGAGAACAAAAAATTTTTGGAGGTGGTCCGGTTAAATATGAGGGTTCACGCTCCTCTGTCCATTATTCCTTAATCTCGAGAACAGAGTTAGGTAGATGAAAAGCGAGATCAGATATAAAATCATAGAAGCAGGAGGACCCGATTAACTATACACGAACTTCCAATGCAAACCGAAAGTCATGCTATTTCGATTCAAAAATTTCCCCCGAAAGGTATTATTAGATAAATGACCGGCACGTCTCTATTGTGAAAGCAAAGTATGATGTACAGGGGCAAGACACTACTAATTTGTTTTTTGAGGTGTAGAGCATATATTTTAAATTAAATAAATTAAAAATTTCAATCTGGCATTAAAACTATAAGTAATTGCTCGTTTTATATTAGAATTGTTGGTGATAAACGAAAGTGCATGTTGATCGTAACATTTGTTTGTTTATTTACATAAAGATAACAATGCGCGAATTTACTAGAAAAACCATAATAACCCAATGAAAAACAATGTTAACTATAAAATAAAATTAAGAAATTGAATAAACTATAAATAACAGAGAGAAATCAACATACCGTATCAGTTTAGGTACTGTACTGTACATATAGTTTTTATTGGATGCACGACAACTGAGGCAACAATCAACTGAGCGATTTACAATAGGCAATAGTTAATTGGACGACTGTTAATTGTTCTTATATACATTTTATAAATAAATTTTGTATATAAATTTTTACAATTAGAGTAATTGATGGAAATGTTGTTAAAAATAAATAACTTTTTTTTTAAGAGGACAATTTAAAGGGACAATTCAATAAACTAGAAGAGTGAGGGTAAAATCTTGCAATTGGAAATACAGATTGTCAAGTGAAAATAAATCGTTGAAAAATTACCAATATCTGTCGAAATAAATAATTCGTTTATACAATTGAAGGAAAATGTAAAGAAGAATATCGAAAGAGTTGTCAAAACATAATTTATTAAACATAAAATATACTTTATAGCTCTTAGTAACGAGGAAGTATGAAAAAAGAAAAAAAAACGTGTGTAATTAATTATTTACGTAATTCATTAATGATATATTTTATAATATTATAATACAAATATATTCAAATATTTGATATTTTGAAAAGATAATTTGGATTATCATCCGAAATTATTATTTTACACCAATAGATGCTATAATGGCCTTAGATGTTACATTTTTTCGTATAATGACCTTAGCTTCACTAAATTTTGAGACAGGCGAATTGCTTTATTAGAATCAATAAAACATGGAGTTACACATTTGGTTAAAAGAGTCACACACTTCCGTAACGCAAATTTGTCTAATGACCCTTGAATAATTTCAGCAACGAGTTGCGTAACTTTCCGGTAAGAGTTAAAATTGTGTGTGGAGCCATCTGCTACGCGATTTTATTAAAACAAACTTTTTATATTATTAATTGTTATAAAAGGGCAAAAAGCCTAATTTCGAGAGTAGAGGTGAGTTTTATAAAAATTTGTAAATGCTATTAACGACTAAAATTTTCATTAAGTCCGAACGCACTCGAGATTTAACACATGACCTCCTGTATTTTCTCACCTGTTGATCTGTAATGACCAAAATTTAATATCATTAATGTCCCTAATAAGCAAACCTACCTGAAAAATTTCAGTAACTTTCAACAAAAGGCACAGAATTTATTGAATTTTAAAGTGGGTGAACAAAATCATACCCTCCACAAACGCTAACATCTGTACGAATAGGGGGTAAAAAAGAAACGTCTCGTGAGTCCAAACATGTAAAACCTTGCTGGTCATTTTTTGCCCGATCGCCATAGTTTTCTTCTGTTATATATAACAGCCGGAAAGCAATAGACGATTTTTCGATGGGGAAGGGGGAATAGGAATAGGAAGGAAAGGTATTGCGGCCGTCCTCACAGATATAACCACAGTGAAAGAAGGAGGGAGATGAGGCAGGGTGCCTAGGGGAGAGGGGTAGGGCAAAAGGGAGAAGAGGAGAGATCATAAGCACTTGCCGGGGTCCGTTGATAATGACCAATAGAAAAATACAGGCTGTACAAGTAGTACAGGGTATACGTAATCGAGTACATAAACATCCGTGGTTTTACAAAGAAAACCGTAGGTAATACAGAGACAAATTGGGATATTACATAGTAAATAATACTAAAAGTACAAATAAAAATACAAGAGAAATGTTGGATGATTACTTTCAGAAGACCGAGCCATAATAGATTGCGCGTACATAGTACAGAGAACAATGCCTTCCAGCGATAGGTAATCCGATTGGCGGCTGCCCGACCGCTAGAGTAGACGACAAAACGGGCAGAAAGGATAAAGATAGGACTCCCGATGACTAGATAGCGGCTGACAGTAAAATCCTAAGAAGAGATACCTTCTAGAGATGCAACCTTTTAGTCCTGAATATTAGTGGGTGTTGTCGCTTGTCGATGATCGAAATTCAGTATTTCATAAGCCTTCCTGGTGAATTCTACGATTGCCATGTAGATACTCTTGTTGCTGATAATGCTTTCAGGTAGTAAGGCCAGGCAACTCCCTCGCTTATTGAGGTGGAGATGAGACGGTTCCGGATGTGGGAAAGCCGTGCACAATCATAAATGATGTGCAGAGGATCCTCAGCGGAGGCATTATTGCAAGGGCATTTCCCATCTCCTCGTTTAAGAAACCTAGAAAAATAGGAACTGAAACACGCATGTCCGGTTATAAATTGGGTGAAATTAAAGTCTGGGATGAAGTGTTGGGGAAGTTTAATATTTTGCAAAAACTGGTGGGTAAGCCTACCCTTATTGCTTGAAGTCCACTGCTACTGCCAGATGTCATGGATGATGTTGTTGATTTGGTGATATACCAGGAAGGTGGAATACGGTCGTAGATTTTCCCTTTATCAGTGGCCACCTTCTTTGCCAGAAGGTCGGTTCTGTCGTTTTCTGGGTTGTCGCTGTGACCCCGTATCCAGCAAAACCTTAGATGAGTACGGGTAGCTATCTCAGCAATAGCATCCATGGACTCCCTAATATTAGGAGGGCGCGTTTTTTTAGCCTTAATCTGATAGAGGGCAACTTTACTGTCCGATGTTGATTTGGCTGACTTTCTTGTCTAAGTTATGGTTGATAATTAGATGGATGGCCTTGAGGATAGCTAAGGACTCGGCCTGGTTGATGCTGCAGTGTGCAGCTAGAGAGAATTTTCCCTGATAAAAGAAGCTCCTGAGACGATCGCCATCACTATAGCACAACCGACCCCCAGAGTGGTTCCTCAACCCGTCAGTATAAATATTGAGTCCCTTTGGGAAGCTTGCCCCCTCAAAGGAGAAGTCCACAGTAGAAAGAATGGCAGGATGGTTGGAATGATGGTTAAACATTCAGTCGATGCCATTATTATTAAGGTTGCCCAAGGATAGGATTATTTGCTACCCCAGGAAGATGCCCTGAGGAGGTGAAATCTCCAGTACATACCCTTAATGACGAGGTCAACAGGGGTGAGCGAGGGAGGGGATAGTGAAGTAGGCCACTCTAAAAGTATTACTACACATAATTAAATTCTACATTTGGTTAAGTTTATCGGGTTTCAGGGTGAAATGGGATCATTCTCCTAAAACATCATTAAAATGCATTGTTATTGAACTTACTCCGATCAGAAATGCATATAAATAAACGATCTGTGAATTAAAATTGTTTCCTGAGTGGTTCTTGACCTTTGATGAACGTTGGATTAAAAGGATATAACAAATTTGATTTATCTATAAACTCCTTTTTAGTGGTTATCAAAGTATTGCCGATTTTAGCTTTATATTAAAAAGAAAAACAATTTACTAAATTCTAAGAAGTGAAACCTAAAATTTTGGCTCTTGACTTTTTGCGGTATCTTCTTTATAGGTACTGGTTTATAGGCAAATTTTTGTGTATAAAAGAAGTCTGTACAGTACGTATGGCGCAATATTGAAAGTATTCGTAGTATTCGAAGTTATATTTTTATCAACGTTACATTCGAAGATAATATTCGTCCATCTCTAATTTCAAGTATCATAGAGAAGCCGAACTTAATCTATATCATAACTTCTTTAGCTCTCTCTTTAGTAGCTTAGTCCACTTGTTCCCAAAATCTATGCTTGTCTCCGACTTAATGTTTTAATATTAATAATGTCAATAAAATAATTCGTTTTTATACGAATAACATCAATAATTCAATTGTTAAATTGGTTAAAATTAACATATTGGGCAATTTAATAAAATAGATTTAATAATTTTAGAAAATTACATCTTAGAACTAAAGTTTTTTGTTATTAATTTATATAATTATTAAATTTAGTAAATTAAATTATTATTATTTTTTATGTTATAATAAATTTCGTAATTTTTAATTTTGTTTTACAGATTCTATCAGAGATGAAGTACGATTACATCCGTAGATATTTATCTCGTTTTTTCAGGATATTAGGTTACAGCATTGGGGAACATCCATTTATATATTTATTATCACCTTTGATAGTAGTTGGAATCTTATCAACCGGTTTTTATAAAATAAAACTTTTCATAGACACCGAATATCTATATGTTCCTATTAATAGTAGAGCAGCGGAAGAAAGAAATGCAATAGAATCGTTATTTCCACATAACATGAATGACTATGATGTTACCAGATTAACAAGATTTGGCAGAATGGGTTTGGTGATATTTGAAGATAAAAATTATGGTTCCATTTTGTACGAAAATGCAATTAAGGAAATAATCAAAACTGATGAAATAATTCGTAATATAAGTGTTGAATGGAATAATAAAACATATTATTATCATGATTTATGTGCAAGGATGCACAACGGAGAGTGTTTTGATAACTTAGCCATTCTTATGAAGGGAAAATATGATCAGTTGAAAACAAAAAATTTACATATTAGGCAAGTATTTTCTGAGCTTTCTAAACCACATTTTAAAATATAACTTAAAATAGAGTACTTTAATAAATTTAGTAATTAACTATATTATTTTGCTTTAATTATCTATAAGTGTAATGATATAATACTGTTTCAAAATTTATCTAATTTCATTATTGTATATGTTTAAATCCGTATGAAGTGGTGAACGGCTTATAACAAAAGCAACGATCATCAATTTCTTACGTGAAACATCGGGTCTGCTGAAAGAAAATGTTTAAAATAAAAATCTGTAAACATCTTTTTTAAACTTTTGAATAAAATTTCTATTTTAGTCAATGTTTTTCTTGTCTCATTTTGGCAAGAAAAACATTCGGTACCACTCCGTTCTACAGTACTCAAGCAGTCACGTACTGTACAGTTTCCTTTCACTGTTTAATCACTCGAGTAAAGCTGTCTCCTCAAGAGATTCTTTACAAAATCAAACAAGTGGTAATCCGAGGGTACTAGATCGGTATCGCAGGGGATGACGAAGAATTTTTCAAACATGTAATTATTTGTTTTTCGTCATATTTTTTAAATTAATTTTCTTAATAGCTATTTTTGAATTTGTTACGAATGAAGTAAACTTTCCTATCGAAAACTGTGGTATAATTAATTCTTCAAATTCATAGCAAATGCAAAAGTAACTATTACGAAAATTAATTTCTCAGTCATTTGTTTTAATCCATTGGATGCTGAAACGAGCGGTGTCAGATCACATAGTACTCGATGAACTATTTCAGTTTTCTGCCATCGATTAGAATTGTGCTTTTCTCCACGTCCCAGAAAATACCTAAGGTGTTTCAGAAGACTGTTCTTATAATTGCCAATGTTCCTTTTAAGTGACCCCTTTTATGAGGTTAACCATTCGAATCATTTCCATTCTTAAAATTCCATAATCTGCCTTTATTATATTTAAATTAGCTTATGTGAAATCTTATTAACTCGATTATTTTATCTCATTAATTTAATTTCAAATTTATCATTATACTGTAAAAATCATTTTTACATTCTCCGTTTTTTAAACACTTTTCATAAATATATTTTTATCTTTTGCTTCTTGATTTCTTGTCGCAATTTAAGAAGAAATAAAAATAGTAGGCTATGATTTATTAAACGTAATCTCAATAAATACATTAAGAGAGAATCAGATCGATAATGAGATTACAAGCAAATTAAAAGAAGAAAAGTATGCTGATAATATAAGAAATGGCACATCAATTCGGATTTGATTCAAACTAGAATCTTCACAGTGAAAAAATTGATGTAGTATTGCATCGCCGTCTAATTGATCATATCTTATTTGAAAAAATCCAACATTTATTCTCTATGAAACATTACCTACTGACTTGTATAGGCTACTAAGACCTGTATAATACGATAAAACAAAAAAAAGAAAGAGAGATTAAAAATCCAATAGTTTGACTTTGAAAAGAGAGAGAAAGAAGCCATTTTAAAAAATTATAATGAAGACCCCCTATAACACTGTTGATTTTTCCGTTTTATATGAATTCCGTGTTGTACGAGTCACTTAGATTTTACAAATACGTGTGCCGGGCTGCGAACAGCTCATGTATTTGTAAAATCTAAGTGACTCATATAACACGGAATTCATATAAACCGGAAAAATCAACAGTGTTATAGGGGGTCGACTGTATACATTTGATGATGATAACAATGGCTATGTTTAAATTCAATTCTAAACAAGTCTAATCTATTTTAAACTTTCTACATTTCATTCTGTTTGCTATGATAATGGAATTTTACGAGAGTATTAAATCAGTTATTTTAAATAATGCCGTAATAATTTTTATTTCATTTTTTAGTAGTATTTTCCTTAAACGTTTCAGCCAAAGAAATTCAATCCTTCAAATTAAAACATTTTTTTCTGTTACTCTAATTTTTATTGTTTTAAAAAATTTGAATTAAATTACATTTCTTTTATTTGATTGTTTAATTCCTACTATTAAATTTTTATTATTTTCAGATATCCGTATGACTTTGATGAAGCGACAATGAATGTTGTATATTACGGTTATACGTTCGGAAAAGTCACATCTGACGAGAATGGTTATATAAAAGATATTAAAGCCTCGAGACTAATATATATGCTTAATTACTTAGACGAAGAACTTAACACTATAGGTTTAAAATGGGAAGAACAGTTTAAAGACATTCTCTTTAAACATCGATTTGAAAATGTTAATAGTTTCGTTTTTGTAGCAAACGATTATAATACAGAATTAAATAAAGTAACAATATCGTCATTGAAACTTCTATTAATTGCTGTACCACTTATGGTAATTTTTTCTGTCCTAACATGTATGACAACAGATTGGATTACAAGTAAACCTTGGATAGGAATAGCAGGATGTTTAACATCAGCTCTTGGTGTAACTGGAGCTTTTGGATTTTTACTTTGGCTCGATGTTCCTTACATTGATTTGAATATTTCTGTTCCATTTCTCTTATTAGGTAAGGAAATATATAATTGTAATACTGTATTTATAACTGTAAAATCATATACTTACAGTATATTCATTTTTTAGGTATTGGATTGGACGATTCGTTTGTTTTATTAGCATCGTGGAGAAGAACAGATAGTAGTTTAAGTGTAAAAGAAAGAATGAGCATTACATATTCCGAAGCTGCAGTATCCATCACCATTACTTCACTCACAAACTTTATTTCATTCTGTGTTGGAATGACCACTGATTTAAGAGTTATTCAAATATATTCGATATATTTTTCTTTATCAGTAGTGTTCACTTATATCTGTGAAATTACATTTTTTGGAGGAATATTAGCACTTAGTGGATATAGGGAGAGCAGAAATTTACATGCTTTATTCTGCATTCCAGTTAGAAGAGAAAAATATAAAGGTAATTCTTAGAAATCATTCTCATTATTTTTAATACTTTCCAATTATGAACATTTTCACTGATATCAATCATGATTTTATAATTTATATTCCACTTTTTCATTAGATTTCATTTGAAGCATTGTATAATGTTTCCAGTTAATGCAGTTTAGTATGAAAACAAAGTTAAATTACTCTCAAATGTCTTATTCAAGCTGATGAAAAAATAATTTACTTAGTCTATGTGTAGCAGACAATTGAATTATTATGATAATAATACGCCTAATGAAACAAAGAAAATACATTATACTGTATATATGATTTTAATATAAATCATTTGAAATAACTTTAATTTTAAAATTTATTATTTTATATTATAGATTTTACTTTTCTGAAACTATTGTTCGTCGGAATAGTTAAAGAATCTGAAGAGTTGGAGAGACAAGAAAATGGAATTTTATATTTTTATAAAAATGTTATAGGAAAAATATTAGTAAAGAAGTTTGTAAAAATTACAGTTATAATAATATATATCGTTTATATTTCTTGTGGAATATATTGCTTAACTTTCATTAAACAAGGAATGTCGTTCAATAGTTATTATGTTTATAACTCGCAAGCCCTAAATTTCACCAAAAAACATTACGAGTATTTTACGACATATCCGCATATTATTCAAGTAGTAATTAACAAACCATTGGATTATTCCAAGAAAGAAGTACAAAGAAATGTTTTAGATATTGTAAATAAATTTTCTAATTCTGTTTATATAGCAAATGAACTAAGTTCAGAATTTTGGTTGAAATACTATTTGAATTCTTTTAACGATACGAGATTATGGTATTCTTATAGCGGATATAATATGAGCAAACAGGAAGATTTCATTGAAGCACTTCGTGATATATTTCTGAAATTTCCCGTCTTTAAACAATTCAACAAAGATATTCTTTTTAACGAGAATAGAACTGAAATATTAACTTCGAGATTTTTTATTACAGCAAAAAATATTAATGATACTGATAAAGAAACAGAGTTATTGAAATCCATGTGGAATATTGCCGACTCTTGTCAATATCCTGTATACGTATATAATGTTTGGTTTTCTATATACAGCCAAAATGTAATTGTTAAAAAAATTACAATTACGACATTGTCAATTGCTATTGTTGTAGTTGTTTTAACATTTTTGTTATTTATTCCAAACATAATATCTGTAATCTGTGTGGCATTAACAATATTATCTATTGATATAAGTATTATTGGTTTTATGTCTGTTTGGAATGTATATTTAAATATGAGTTCAATGATTTGTTTAATGTTAGCTACAGGATTATGCGTAGATTACACATCTCATATCTCTTATGCATATATTACAAGTACAAAAGAAAATCCTGACGAGAAAACTAAAGAGGCTCTCTACGCTGTTGGCTATCCTATTTTACAAGGATGTATTTCTACTCTTTTAGGAGCTATTGTTTTAATTTTTGCTTCCATAGATACAATTCTATTATTTGTCAAAATTATCTTCTTAGTAATGTTATTCTCATTTATACATGGTGTTTTTATAATTCCGGTATTTTTAAATACTTGGGAGACAATTAAAGAAGGTAGATTTAGAAAGAAAAGAGAGACAAAAATGAAAGAATATGATATGATTAATCAAAATGTAGAAAATGAAGGAAAAAACGAAATATAATTATTTTCATATTTCATTTTTATTTTATATTCAGGAATTTTGTAAGCTGTATTTGAGGGTTTTTTAAATACAATTTTTAAAAATATATTAATAAATTAACATTTTAATAATATTATCTTTTTTTTAAATATTAAAGCATAAGTTAATTTGAATTTTAATAAAATAAATATTATGATTAAATAAATTTTAATTTTTTATAATCAAATTTGTAAATTTTAATAATTTTTGATTAAATGATTTTAATAAATGAATTCTTTTTTTCATAATTTTTGTTTATTTTATTTCTCTTGGTTTTTATGAATAACCATTTTACCCCTTCCAATATTCTATGGTTTGCCTCTAAGTATGTACAGTACAATGAAGCATTTGATGCATTAGAAATATGGTTAGAAATGCAACCTGGTACAGATTTTTCAACTCTCAAGGCGATCAAGTAAGCCAGGAATTTAAGATAATTAAAAAGAAAAAAAAGAATTATGTAAAACAATGCAAAATAAGTGACGCAGTTTCTTTCAATAAAACAATAAAAATATATGAAATGAAATTTAAAAATATATATTTTTTACGTGAATATTGTACTTTACTTAATATTAATTTTACTATTAGATATTTAGTACATTTTACATCGTACTGAAGAAACCTTAAATTCAAAGCAATTTAAAGTTTCATCATTACGTTGTAGATTGTAATGAGACTAGTTTTATTTTTAATTGATGCTTCTTGTCATTATTATTATTATTAATACTTTACTATGACTACAATCTATTAATAGGACTTATTTCACTGGTTACAAAGAAAACTTTATAATAAAGTTTAAAGTCAATAAGTCCTATTAATAGATTATAATCATAGTTAATAATAATAATAAACAATAGACAGGTTTTTTTAATTTCTTATTTCTTATCATTCATATGTATTCAATTTCTATGCCTTCATCGTTTTTACTGTTTTACTAGAATTATTTTTATTTTATGTAAATATTCTTTTTATTCTTTTTCTACGAAATGTAAGCGGTTATTCGAAATTGTCTTGCTTCGATTATGTCGAATAATCGACGCGCTACTGTAATTATAATTGTGTAATTACATAGACTGGCACAGCTCGTCTTCACCGGCTGTCGATCGATATTGCTGATTTATTAGCTTCTCTGTTCAACGTTTCTTTTACTAATAGTTTCCCACACACTCTCTCTCACTCTCTCTCAGTCAGACACATATATTTACATGTACTAATACTAATTTAAAAATTTTTAATTACAAAAACGTTCCGCCACAATTTTGTCGCGATACGACAAAGTTGTAAATATCTGTTTTTTTATAAATATTTTAAATAGTTAGTAGCTGAGAATCCCGGTTTGCTCGAAAAAATGATATAGTCTATTAAGTAAAGGTACTGATTGTGGCGACCATAGTTCTGATTCGTTCATTACAGCAGACACAACTAGATCTTCCTAAACATATTTATCACTTGACAAACAGCATATATAATAACAATGTATGTTAAACTACTACAAAATGCCTATGATACTTTGCAGAACGGCTTTTACTTCTACGATAATACACCAGTTCTCCTCGCTAATTTTCCTTGCCTCTCCTCTCCCCAGAAAGTCCATCTTCTCGTCTTTTCTTCCTCTCCGACACTTGCTCCGCCTCACTTCCATTCGTTTCTCCACTTTCAAAAAAGGGTGAGGATATCGGAACTTGATATTGATATAAAATATAAAAATGTATAGGTATATACTTATAATAACTATTCCTCAGGCTAAATACATTCGTTATCCCGAGGAGGATTTCAGTCTTTCTCACGTGATACGCGAACAGATAGAAATTCAATTTTATATACAGTAATACCTCGACTTACGCTACCCCGACTTACGCGGTTATCGCTCGGTCCATCTATCGCGCAAGTTCAGGGTATTACTGTACTCGTATAATCTATAGATTAGTAATAGTTACGAGAGATATTATCATATCTAAGCTTTTAACTGTACGAAAGTTCATTTATGTGAATAATCACGATATAATCGAGTAAACAAAGTGTTATATTATGTTAAAGTGTTTTTAAAATATTATCTTATCACCTTAATTTTTTAATTGATACGAATTTTGCTTTGTATTCTAATTGTATATCAACATAGGAATTACACTTAAACAAAACAACAAAAAAATATCATTTTTAAAGAACGTAAATGGAGAAATTGTATAACAACACCAACAGTAGACTCGACATTATTCTACCTACTATATATACAGCGTACTCAACGTTAAATGTCGGGTCGACTGTACCGGTGCCTGCCAGTGGCTGCAAACAATCTACTCCCTAATACATAAAGACATGTACTGTTCTTTCGAAAGCAAGTAACTAAATTATAAACCATCATAAAGCAAGTAACCAATTAAACCAATGAATTGATTAAATAAATTAGTTACGAGCAACGAATGTACCATATCTGCATGTATTGGGGTGGATGTTGTTTGACCACCGGATTGCGTGTTGTAAAAGATAGAGGGGGTCTATACGTCTACCGGTAGTCACTTGTTCAGTCCACCTAGTGGCATTTTTTTTCTTTATTCGGTTATATCGTTTTAACGCAAATTGTAATATCTGAAAATGTAAATAAGTAATTTATTTATTATTTAATTTCTTAACTTTCTCGCTAGTTTTTCCGATAATTATTGGGCTGCAATTATGAAATATTGTAGACCTATATATTCCCCACTGTTGTCCGTCTGTCCGTCCGTCTTTCCTTAGTCTCTAGAACGGTTAGAAAAATGAAATCCGCGACCAGATATGGAAACTTTAAGGACAGGAGATCAACTTCCGATGCAAACCGGAAGTCATGTTATTTTAATTCAAGAATTTTCCCTGAAAGGAGTTACTGTATATAGATGACCGGCACGACTCTATTGTTAAAGAAAAGGTATGATGTACTGTACAGGGGCAAGTCACTACTAAATTGAGGTGGAGAGCATACATTTTAAATTAAATAAATTAAAAATAAGAATTACAGCCAAGCATTATAATGTAATAAAATAATTGCTCGTTTATTTTTTATTTTAATTATTTCATTATTCCGTGCATTTATATGGAAGAGTAAAAAATTATTTATTGCCTAATAATGATTATAATCATTTATTATAACAGGATAATAAATTGCTATAATCAATTTGTAAAAATTTGATTGTATAAAATTATTTTATTACAATTATTATTTGTATGATCCAAAGAATGTTTTTTATTTATTACCTTTCGTTAAAAAATTATTATTAATGAATAATAACATTGAGAAAGAAATATTCACGTCATTTTGTTTAATGGTCAAATGTTTTTTTTTTAATGTCCTTTCCTTATTGATTTTTAAATGAATTTAATATATACCATCTCTTATTATTAATAATGACGTATAAAATTAATAACTTACAATGTCAAACTTAATTCATTTAAGTGATAAGTTTGAAACTATTATGTAAGGAAATGTATAGGAATTTGATTCAATATTTAAATTATAAGTTAATATTTTAATTAATTTGCTACTTAATTAATTTATTTTCGAGCGTAAAAATAACTTTATTTATAATATAAATACTTTTACTTAAAACTTATTTTCTACATTACATTTTTATAAAATTTTGAGCATTAAATATTAATGAACGTATCCAAATTCCTTCTAAATTCTCTTTTATTATTTTCTGTATACTTATATCTGGCAATAATTGTAAATTGTAAATAATAATAAAGACAAAATCATAATTTTTAAAAATTAATAATCGGGATGCAATTTGAAAACATTCTACACCTATAAATTTCCATTGTCGTTCGTCTGTCTTAATTCACTGTCTATCCTTCCTTAATCTCAAGAATGGTGCTAAATAGATAAAAGACGAGATCATATGTGAAAAATTTTAAGAGGAAGGAGACCCCGACTAACTATAGATGAAATTCCATTCTAGAATAGAAGTCCCGTTATTTCAATTCAAACATTTTTCCCAGAACAGTGTTACATAGATGATTAGCATGACTCTATTGTTTTCAGGAAAAGTATGATGTATAGCAATATGCAAGCCACTACTAATTTGAGGTGAAGAGCATATATTTAAATTAAATTAATTTAGAAAATGAATAGAAATTGCAGCTCGGCGTCGTGACAATGTCACAATAATTTTTGTTCGTTTTAAATTATTTTAGTTCTACTATTTTAATTAAAACATCAAATTCAAATTATTAATATTTTACCTTGTGGATTTTTGAATTTTCGTTATTAAATTTATTATTATAATGTATTTAGAGAGACTATCTGCTGGATTGACGTGATATTAGTCTAACTGTTTTTCCTCCTTATTATAAATAAAAAGTAGACTCATAGCCATAAAAATTAGAATACAAAAAAAAGAATTGTCGGAATCGGACAAAATTGTACATGTGAAAGTGAAACTGATGTAAGTGATTCCAAAATGAAAGGAAAAGGATCATTTATTCCAAGAAAAACTCTAAATGAAAGGAAGTTCAAGTAGCCTACCCTGTTGGGCCATCTCTAGCGTAAATACACGATGTGATACGGGAGGGCATGGAGGCATACAGGTGCCGTATGGCGTACTGTGGCATCTCAGTTCACAGTTTCTGCAAGCGATCCTCTAGTTTGGCCGAACTCCTAGGCTGTCCAACGTGGCGTCCCAGGAAATCCCAGACATATTCGATCTGTGACATATCAGGGGACCACATAGGCCAGGGAAGTGTGGCAATATAGCAGAGGCAGTCCTGTGACACCCTTGTTGTGTGGCCGAGCATTGCCTGTTGGAAAATGGCACTTGGGAATCCTATGAAAGGCTATGAAAGGCAACACATGTGGTTGCAGGATGTCACTAACATACTGCGTGATCCCGTGATAGGGCTGTCGTAGTCCTTTGGATCACTACTAGAGGTGACCAGTTGTCATATGTGGTGGCACCCCAGACCATCACACCAGCTGTAGGGCGGTATGCTGCTCCAAAGTGTAGGCAGGATTGAAGCGTTTACCAGGGCCCTCCAGACACGAACACGTCCGTCGT